AGCTGTGGTGTCATTAGAGGGCACAGCAACCTGAAACTCTTGGGCTCAATTGATCCTCTTCCTCAGCCTCTGGAGTAGCTGGGACTACAGGCACACTTGTCATGTCACTCAGCTAGTTTTTCTGTTCTTGGTAGAGATGGGGTCTCATTCTTGCTCAGACTGATCTCAAAATCCTGAACTCAAGCAGCCCACCCACCTCAGCCTCCCAGAATGCTAGGATTACAGGTGTGAGCCACTGCACCTGGCATCCCTTAGCTACTTCATGGGCATGTAGTTGTTTGCCATTTTTGTGGGGGAGACAAGCATTGGAACCTTCTAGTCTTCTGTCTTGCTGATGTCACTGTCTACTAGGCATATGTGTGTCTATATATATGTGTGTGTGTGTGTATATATATATATATATCTGTATGTATCTCAATACACACACACATACATTTTAAAATTTATTTATTCTAGCTCTGTCATCCTAGCTAGAGTGCACTGGTAGCAGAGCTCATAGCAACCTCAAACTCTTGGACTCAGGTGATCGATCCTCCTGCCTCACCCTCCTGAGTAGGTAGGACTACAGGCCTGTGCCACAATGCTCAGCTAATTTTTTTCTATTTTTAGTAGAGATGAGGTCTCTTTTGCTTAGGCTGGTCTTACACTCCTGAGCTCAGGTAATCCTCCTGCCTTGGTCTTCCAGAGTGCTGAGACTACAAGTATGAGATGTCACACCCAGCCTCTAACAGGCTTTTAAGTGGTAATTTTAAAATGAATTAAAAATTAGTCAAAGTGTGAAGTGCCTAAAATGAATATTTCCAAGTCTTTGAAATATTTCTCTGGTGTCTAACTTCAGCTTATGTTCTTCCATCCTGTGCATCCTACTAAAAGTCTGACATTTATAAAATCTCCTGAGCATCATTACACCTACAGTCTACTGTGACACCATCAGTGACAATCCCAGAAGATGCTTTTCCAAATCCTCTGACCCTTGGCATGCCTGAGTGACACCGCAATTCCTTCAGTTCTCATCAAACCAAAGCTGTGCTTTATTGTGGGCAAAAAAAAAGGGAGCCTATATCCTCCCTCGTCTGTATCACACTTTGTCACCTTGATGACTCTACGTTCCTCTACTTGCCTGGGAAAATAGCTCCTTTGCTTCTTTCCTATAGTCCTATCTATTCCAAGGTGCTAGGCCGGGAACCAAGACCAATTATGCCCCTTTTCTCCAGTTTATACCCAGTTATAGTTATACACAATTATCCCAGTTAATGAGCAGCCTGCCTTGCACTGTTCATCTGTACTATTTCTTTCTCCACAGGCAATGAGTATAGACAAACGGACACCTAAGCTCCTGGTCCACTCTGACACTCCATAGAAATGTCATGTCCAAATGTGCATGAATCTTTTTAAGAACCACCTGCAATACCCAACAACATACTCATAGGCTGAGTTAAGAATGAATGAGGCCCCATTCTCCTGTCTCTTTCAAAGATGGTGGGAACTCTTTAACACTGTACGCCTAATACTTGTTTGATCTCAGGTAAACTATTTCGCTCGCAGCCTTCACTTTCTTTCTCCCTATAATCAGTGAGTGTTTTTACGTATATTCCAGAGATACAGTGAAGCACAGCTGATGGACTCTAGTGAAGCAAGTGGCAGAAAAGCCCAAAATAGACATAATGAAAATCTCACGACTCCAAATCAATGAATCAAGTAAAGAGGTAGAAACCTCCACAGGAAGGAGGACGGATGTTCTGAGCTTTTGTCCCTTAGGGAATATTAGTTTTACCTTTTTTTGCTAAAATCATGGCAACCAGGCTGGGAATTTAGGCTAGATTATTTACTCAATGTGACAGCCCCTCCTCCCCTTTCTTTTTCTCCAAGCCTGTACCCATGACCTTTCCAGACTCTTCAAGTTATTTTTTTTTTTAAACAAATATCATCAAAGAATCAGAATTAGGTGCACAGGCATTGCAAACCTGAGTTACCCTTTATTTTTCTTTGTCTCAAAAGTTTAGACATTTCCCAGATGATCTTTACTTATTGAAATGACTGGCAGCAATTGCAGCCTTGTAGAAATGTTAAATTATCTCACCGATGCTCAGAAAAAGCAGAAGTCCTGTAGTTTCAACTGCCTGTGTGGGAAAAGGAAAAAATAAATTCTTGAAAAAGGCTTGTTGATCAGAA